CCCCGGGTCCCGGTTTGGGGAGGGGGGGGGTGAAGGAAGATGCAGGGGTGTGGTCGATGGGTGGGCGTGGCCAGAATTGGGCGTGTCCCAATCGGCCCCGCCCCCAGGCGTGAACCTGACCCTGCGCTGGAGCTTCGACAACGGCAGCACGTGGTGGGGGCGGGGCCTGCGCGTGTGGGCGGGGCCCAGCGGGTACTCGGCGCTGGCGGCCTCGCCCCCGGACGAGCTGGGCCACGCCCCCCTGCTCTACCTCATCTACGAGAAGGGGCGGAGCCTCTCCACAGAGAGCGTCTCATTGGCCACCATCAGCCTGGCGGGCGAGCTCTGACCCCGCCCCGCGCGCGCGCAATGAAGCCATTGGTTCCGACCCGCGTGTCGTCATCTCTGGGGGCGTGGCCGGGCGGCGGCGGCGGGAACCGTCGCCATAGCGACGCGGGGGGGGGCGGGGCTTCTGCCGGCGCTTTGCCTTGGCGCTCAACGTCCCCGAGGACCCCTCGGCCGGGGCTGCCCTCGCGCTGCCTGAGCGGAGGTTCGCAGGCGGCGGGGCCGGCGCGGGGCACGGCGGGAGGCGGAGGGGCCGCGGCGGGCGGCGCGAGAGGCGGCGGGAGCCCCGGCGGGGCGGCGGGAGCCTCGGCGGAGCGGCGGCAGCGGCGGCGGGGCCGCGCACGGGGCTCGGCGCGTTCAGGCGATCGCTGAGGGCAGCCCCGGGCCTTGGGCCGGGCCCGTCGGCGCGCGCGGGGCCGGACCGGAAGTGACGCTCAGCCCCGCCCCTCTCGGTCGCGGCGGTCGCAGCGTTCGGGGTGAGTTGAGCCGGGCCGGTGCCGCATCCGCCGCCATCGCCGCCCCCGCCGCCCATCCGCCGCTGTTCCCGCTCCCTCCCGCCCGCCCCGCGCCCCACGCGTCCCCCCCAGCGCTCCGGGGCCGCCGCCGCCGCTCGGGGGCCGCGCCCGGGGCCGCCGCCGTTGTGCGCTCCAAGATGGCGGCGCCGGGGGGCGGCCGGGATTGGGCGGGAACGGCGCGCGCGGGCGGGGCCGGGGGCTGCTCCGGGGTGGGGGAGGGGATCCC